TACCTAATGTCAGATCAAATGAATACATGCAAGATATTTTTACTGGTAACAGCTATAAGTCGGGAAACATTTGTATAAAACACTAAAAAATAAGGCCGCCTTCTAAAATATGATGAAATATTTTTACAATAAAAGTTTATTATTTCAATCCGTTATTACTAGAGTGAGTATTTCAATTAGTTACATAAGCTTTGAGTCTTTTAAACTTATTAAAATTGAAAATTATAACTGTTATTACTGCAGTTTTAAATAACGCCTGTATAATAACGGTACTTGACAATTGCTCCATTTCAAGCAACAGGCACATTAGTTTAAAATAATGTATAATCAAAGAGCTAGTAATTGGTCGTTTGCCAGTGGAGAAGCTACGCCCAGTTGTTAGCTCTTTGCCAGTTCTAGGGTCAAAAAGTAGTTTGAATATAATATGTTTTTTAAATGCTATAAAATACTTTAATATTATTTTAAAGATTTCCTTATTATTTCCTTTAGAAAACCTCACCTCAAAACTTTGTTATGAATACGGTACTTAAATGATTTACTTGTAGATGGCACTATTAAAGAACAAGTTGCAAAAAATATCGTCATTGAAAATAAAACAATTGTAAGACAACGGTTAGATAACTGAATCGGCTGTAAACAGCACTGCAGCACCTAAGGTTTTTTTTGTGTTTTAGCAAATTTCCCATATAGGGAATAAGCTATATTATTGTAGGTCTCATGGTAAGACCTAGACCCGGGACCGATTTACTTTTTCATTTTGAGGTCCCTAGAGGCCAAAAACACCCTCCATTCAAATTCATATATATATACTAGCAGAGTACCTGTCCTTCGTACGGGGTTGGCGTATAAGTATAAATAGCATATTGCAGGTTGTGTAGTTGAAACAGCTGAGAAAACTATTTTATGCCTTTTAAATATGAATGAATACTCATAAGGTTAACATGGGAAACTCCAGAGCCCGAAAGGACTTTTGAGATAAGAATGTGTCTATATGTTAATCGGAAATGTGAGCTATCATCACACTAAATTTCAGCCTAATCCGACCAGTATTTTTCGCATTTACTTGTCACAAACATCTATCCATCCATACATCCAAACTTTCTCACTTATAATATTAGTAGGATATATATATATATATATTTATTTATTTATATATATATATATGTGTGTGTGTGTGTGTCTGTGTGTGTGTCCGTTAGCACGATAACTTGAGCAACAAATATCCGATAAAAAAAAAATTGGTACAACCAAGTAAACCTACGTTTATTTGAACGAGTTCCCGAACCAGCATGATAGGACTATGCTGTGGGAACGGGGGTTAATAGGGAATTTGATGGTGTAAAAATTTGATTTTCCCATTTTTTACACTAAAAACACAAAATTTCACAATTTCATTCCAAACCATTTTGTAGAGCTTAAAAAAAGAAATAACTTTGTACATTGAAGCGTTGTTGTATGCCTAGCGATTACCGAGAGGATTTTAAAAAAAATTGTAAATTAAAAATTCCCATGTAATTCTTACGGAGAATAAAAAACTGTTGTAGTTTGCCTGTTTATGGATATATTTTAAACAAATTTGGCAATTTTGTTTGTTTCATTCTAAGCTATCAACATTTCAATAAAAAAATACATCAAAACCTTCCCTGAAGCAGCAAACCTAAGTACTCATTAAAATGAATGTTATTTAAATAGGAAATAAATCTGACAATTTTAAGGGAAATTTTAGTAGAAATCAAGCTTGGAAAATGGAAATTCGCTTAGTCTGCAGGTTTGCTGTGATGGGGTATTTTTTTATTACCATAGAAGACAATTAAAACTTTTTAATTTTAACACATCCCTTTGAGCTAGCTGCATGAGTCTCTGACGAACTGTTTTCATGACACATAACAGCACTAGGTCACAGAAGACTCAACAAACAACACTTTATGAGAACGAGGCTTTATGAAGTTATCAGTAACATAAATGATAGAAGCAAAAACTGTTGGGTTGAATCATAGGTTACCAACAGCTGGAACTATACTGTCTTGTACTAGAAAAAGTTGAAATACCACACCAGAGTTCTTAAGCTTTAATATAAATGCAGGTCTCTGAAAAGACAGATAATGATATCAGTGGGTTTTGACTTCTCTGCATTGGGATACACAATGTGACTATTTTTATCACGCCGATAGATTATATCTCAACAAATATATTTTTCATTTAAAATTTTAGATACAAATGATTCTGAAGGTGATGACAATATAAAATGCTATGGTAACTCCGCTCAATTTTTGGACGCCTCTACGAACGCTACCCAGTTTATTTACATTTAATTTAGTATAATTAATTATGAGTAAAATGTATCTACATATTATATATTAAAAATAAATTTCTAATAAGTTTTCAAACAACTCTTGAGTCTTACCATTTTGGCCTCTGGGGACATAAAAATGAAAAAGTAAATCGGTTCCGGGTCTACAGACAGTAATGTTGTGGTTGCTTACTTAACCAGGAGGGCTGCTAAGCAACTGGGAGCTTGGAGAAATTATGACACTAGAGGAGTATGTGAATTTATTTTATTAAGGAAGCAATAGTTGATGGTATTACAATAGTTGTACAACAAATGATTTACAATGAATGACAGCTATGAGACTGTAACATAATTAATACTCAAAAGGGACTTTGTAAGAGAGAGAGAGATAGCGAGAGATAATCAGTGGCGTAACAGAAGGGCCCGCAGTGCCCGCGATGCGGGGGGGCCCGGGAGCTGAGGGGGCCCGCGAACCGGTGAGTGGGAAACGGCGAGCAGACGAGCCCGTGAGACGAATGGAGGCCGAAAAATTGGAGTTCATTCTTTATTTAAATGTATTATAAATCATTCAATAATTGTATTGAACAAGTAATAACATTGATGTTATTAATAATATGTTGTTATCAGTTATCGTTTAATTTCGTTAGGCCTCTTCAGTGATAACGAACTAGGGTAACAAATTTAAAGTGTTATAACGTGGGTTTTTGATTATTATGCAATCTTACTTTCGTCACCGAGAAATATTTTACTTCTCGGTGATTTCGTACACTGCTTATGTCGTCTGCAAACATTTTGTTACTTTGGAGCCTGTAGTCATGAACGTTGGATGGGGCTTTTAATATTGTATTATTTTACATTTTAGTTTTGTCCTAATATTGATTGTATTTTGTTAAATACAATATACTGGTACTCTGCTGACTGTGTTTGTTAGCCCATATCTTATTTTAACTCACAATTAACCAATACTAAAGACATTTGTTGTAAGATAAACACTTACAACATAATAAGACGCTTGAAATCCATACAAAGATAAAATAAAAAATGCAATAGGCTATTTTAGCCTGTGATAAAAGTACGTTAATCTATTAAATTAACCAGCTTTTAGTGTATGAGATAATTATAACCAAAGATTAAACTATCCTAATAAATTAACACTTTCTCATCCTTCATTCATATTTGGGTTAAATACGCACATAGTGGCGTCCCCATCTTAAATAATTGATTGATTGCCTTTAATACTTTACTTTGAAATGGTGACCATACCAATGTAGCTATTTTAAGCCAATAATTAATGGAGATGAGTGTAGGATGAGTGGCCCAACCTTTTAGTTTTGAAAGGGACTAAGGCCGACATATTCCTTAGACACAGATGTTAATTAATGCCAATACATCTAAAGGCAACTAAGGGGCCTAAGGGGGTTAATAGGGGAATTCGAACCACATTTTTGCCTTGTAATTAATAAATTATTCTAATTATCAGGGTAATAAAAAATGATAACATGTGTGATAAATTAAATGTAAAATGTTTAACCTCCTTGATACAGTACATTCTGATAGACGATGGAAAAAAAGGGTTTTTTAAATTTGATTTCAAAACTATTTACAATCACTAATATTGATATAATGATGAAGTGATGTAACACTTTTATTAAACCACGACTGAAATACTTAATACATCCTTTTATGGAACATAGCCCATAACTTAATATTTAAATTTTTAATTTAAGATTTTTTTCATAATTTATTTACCACTCTTTTTATGATTAATCTGTTTGATCATTGTATCGGTGGTCCAAAAATAACTCTGGGGGGAGGGGGTGGGCGTTTGATTATGTTGTATCGGTGGTCTAAAAATAACTCATGAGAGGGGGGCCCAAAAAATAAGTTTGCAGGGGGGCCCGTACAAATTTGTTACGCCACTGGAGATAATGATAGAACTCACATAAGACGGACAGCATACTAGGCGACCTGGCCTCGAGAGTGGAATGATAGCACCGGAAAAGGAGTCCCTTTATATAAACCACGAGTAGCATCAGTGGCCATCTCCCAACTGCAAGCCACATTAGGTCCATGAATAGATCAATTGGGAAGCTCGATGATTCAAAGGAAAGTTACAAAGAATAATAGAATGCTTTACACTGGACCGTTAGACTACGATAGTGAGGGTTTACCCTAGTCTGAATAGGGGAGGCTTGGTGAATGGCGTCGGGGCTACAATGACCGAAGGGGAGGTGCTTTACAACTGTGCCCAAAGGGTGAGGCCCAAAGGGAAGATCTGAATGGACCGGTGTCCATGTTAGAGTTGTTGTGACCTACCCCAACGAGGGTAGGCAACCATCAGCCTACCAGTGAATACCCCGGGTCGCGTGTACGTCAATCCTTTGTTGGCACGGGTTACAGTAACCTTTATTTAAGGGTTTAAATACACAAATGGATATTGTAATAAAAGTAACATCTGTGTGGCAGATGTTCTAACGGTTTCTAGTGATTGCCGCGAGATTAACAGTTGTTGGGATTTCAATGCCAACAGTAATAACTACTTCCCTATAGGGAAATTCGCTAAAATTAGGAACCTTAAGATTTAATCATTGAATTCTTTTATTATGAGAACTATTGATTAAAATATGTCTTGAGACCATTCAGATCCCTGTTCTGGCTCTTAACCTTTTAATTTTGAAGGTATTTCTTAAAACACATTTATTTAACATACCTTCCATGAACTTGGGCAACAATATTGCAACCATATGAGTCCATATGACAAGGGGTATAGGCACCTTCAGTTCCAATCCAAATTGTCGAATCCTTCCCACTTTTATCTGGTAGTCCAACATCAGCCCATGACAATGACTGTGAAATAAAATATTTAAAACACATTTTAACCACTAAACCGCTTTCTAAACTATTTCTAGTTTTTCTTTAACATTGTAAAAATTATAATTTGATTATATTGCATCTAACTGCGGCTCAAGACTTGATATTTGGGGGTGGGGGGCTAGCAGGGTTGGAGTGACACTTAGGGTGGGGGGCAGGGGTCTCTTTTCAGACAAGAGAGTGAGTAACGGGATGCAGTGCAAGTTTCCCCTTGTAAAAATGAAGAAATTTAACAATTACATGTGATTCTATACATCTGAGGCTCTAAATTCAGATTCGTAAATATAAAAAGGTTGGAGATCAAAAATAGAAATAGTTAAAACAACCACTTTCAAGAGCTTTTTCTTCATTAGAAACGTTGTTGAACTTAATTCATAAGAGGTTTATCTGTCCCTATGGACACAGCAGCACAATATACATCTTTGAACAAAAATATAACTCATAACCACAGACTTTATCCAACTAAAAAACTAAACTGTCTGACGCGACAGAGGCAAAGATGGCCTGCACACAACCAAGTGTATAAGTATTTAAATATTATAAGTATTATTTTTTTTGGACAAGGGATTTGCCTGATTTTGAGGCTAGTGTATGGGTGTAGTAAGTACTACAACTAGTGTTTTACGCTTAATTTAGTAACTTAAGAAGATAATTAATTCTCAGTAATTATCTATGTATACATAATTTTAGTAGAACCTACAGTTACACAATTACTCATGTACTGTTCCGAATATGATAATATTATAACACTAACATCTCTACATTTCAATGAAGCTAATTATGTTTTCTTTTCTATCAACAATTCTCCCAAAAATCAAAATAGCAATGGAAACAATGGAAGCCATTGGAGTTTATTGGTGTATAGTAAAATTGATAATACATTTCGTCACTATGACAGTGTATATAGTTTAAATGAAAAATATGCTAAACTTTTATCAAAAAATGTGAAAATGGATGCTTCCTTCAAATCAGTTGAAACATCCCAACAAAAACAAAACTTTGAATGTGGTTTACACGTTATAGTTAATGCGAAACTAATAATAAATCAAATTGTAAATGATAAGTATGTTCATATGAAAATACAAAAAAACTCTTTACCCCAATCCCCAAAAAATAACACCCACTTTGAAATCAAAGAAATAAAAGATTGTAAAAATCTTGACAAACGCAAAATATTCCCAGGAGAAGAAAGTACATCCAGTCCAGTCCCAAAAAAAACCAATCAATTTCATAAAATTAACAAACCTATGATAAAAGTAAGATCAAAATCTACAAAAGTGATAAACCAAACTTCATTCAAAAACAGATTTTCAATACTTGGAACAGATGAAGTAGAAATTACTAGCACAAATATAACAAATATTAATGAAAATACAAATAATGTAAATAATCTTAATAAAAACTCAACTCCTATAACCAATGAAACTGAATCACATAAAAAATCAAAAAAAGGAAAACATTTCAGTGCAGTATTAAAAGATAAAACCAAATTCTTACCAGATTGTCAAGCTAAAATCTATAATATTAAAACGAAACAGTGTTTTTTTATTTCACGATTCTGAATCAACCACTCAACGGATTTTCATTATTTTTGTGTTGAAAGAAAGATAGTTTTGAGAACTAGGGAATGTCGAAGCCATAATTTTAGTTTAGGGTCCCAGTTATTTAGAAATTAAGTTTTAATTTTTGAAAAGTCTAGCAGCCGACGCTAAGATTCTAAACTAGCTTTTGGTGTATTATAATTTGTTTAACATAACAGCTGTAAACATTCAGCGTTTGTAACACAAATTCAGCATTTGGATAAAATTAAAAGACATACTAAGGGTTGACTTATTTATACTATGTGTAATGCTAATCATTGATACGTTCAATCCTTCGATAAGAGGATGACAGATTTTTTAAATATACTAGGATGTTCAAAGGATTTTTTAAATAAAAATCTTTGCAATCTTCGGTTTGTTTTAGTGCAACATAATTTTCTTTTAACTAACAGCTGGTTAAATATAAAAATGCTCTGTAGAACTATGAGGTTATTTTATTTACTCTGATTTGTCATTGATTTTCAGGAAATAAGTAAGATTAGTAGACCACCGAGAAAAGTAACACCATCGATGTATACAAGTCGAGGCTCTGTACACGAGTCTTAAAAAAGGATATGCAAATTATTATACTGCTCAACTTTTTTAGAAAAGGGTAGGAAAATCCATTTTTTACACGTTTTAATTCATCTTGGTTTGTTTACAATCAATGTTTTCGAATGATTAAACTTTGTTTGGATTAGGCCCGGAAATATTGATGTCATAAAGAAGGAAATCAAGAATCCTCAGAAATACAATTTTAAATTACCACCACAACCCAGATGGGTTTTATCCAAAGATATACAGATATGAATGACATAGATTGAGCACAACGTCATCATTGACTTAGGATACTGCAATTAGACTAACCATCCTTTTATGAAATCTAAAAAGTTGTTTGGCGTGTGTTTAGTTGTGGTTACGTTTGGAGGTGCTGAATATTTTATAGTTTAAATAAATGAATATGGGGAATTACGGTGTACATTGATTCAATTAGGGTGGTTAATTATTAAGGATATTAGAACTGATAACGGAATTTATAATAAACATAGACAATTAATTACGTCACTAGCTTTACTAGCGTGTTTTACGTTTTAAATTCCTTCAACATGTGACCAGTTCTTTTGTTCAAATGAATATTATTTTATTTTTACTCAGCTGTTTACCAAAACAAACTATATGTTATTGTTTTTACTTTTCTTTGTTTACACTTATTTATTTAGCAATTGATGCAGTGAAATTGATATAAAGGATATGTGTGGACGATTCGTTTAATGATGTCAGGACATCAACGTTATAATTATGTGTACAGTACTGTGAATTTTATTGGATGTTTTCGTTTTATTTTAGGGAGTTTCTATTCAGACCTACTGGAAATTGTGTATAGTATGAGTAATTGTATTGTGTTGATATTGATTATGGAAGAGGCAGGTATGCGATGGAATTGGAAGGTGATATCGTTGACTAGGCCTATACACTTTCTCAATTGATAATTACTCTTTCTACTGTAGGCTGCTATAAAATTTGTCTTTATACGTGTAAGCTAGCTGTTCTGATTTATCACAGTTTTAACTGACTACTCCCGTACGTAGGACGGGCTAACACCTCGTTACTAATAACATACCAAACCACAATGAAGACGAAACGGAAAATAATGTTGATGTATTGACCTCTTCTACTAGTATGTTAAAAAACAAAAAGATTGAAAACATAGAAACTAACAATACTCTCAAAGAGAAAACGAAATTGAATTCTACCTCATTGATAAAAAATAAAATAAGAATTTTATCAGACAGTCATGGAAGAAGCATAAGAAACTTGCTAAACAAAAATATTAAACATGACGAATTATTTGAAGTTTATAGTTCTGTAACACCAAATGGAAAAATGGTCCAAATTTTAAGTACTGAAAATAGTTTTGAATATAATAAAAAAAGTATGGATAAAAATGATTTTATGATAATTATGTGTGGAACAAATGACATTTGTTTAGAATTAAATATTGATGAATTTTTCAAAAACATTGAAGAAAGAATAAGAAGATTATCTTACACAAATGTTTGTATTATTGGCCTACCTTGGAGATACGATTCACCAATGCTGAACAAAAAAATATCAACAATAAATGAAAAGCTATATGAATTGACTATTTTACATGAACATACAAATTTCATAAGTTGTTCACATATCTCACGCTCCTTTTACACAAACCACGGACTCCACTTCAATAGAAAGGGTAAATTAGAGCTTACCAAATTAATAACCAATTATATCTATAACAATAAATTTGAATCAGTTATCAAACAAATTCCTGTTAGAATAACCGAAAGAAATAATTTTTTAGAGAAATGCCAAAACAAAAGACACATAGTTTAACAAATATCAGCATTAAAAACCAAGTTGTACAGACAAATTCTAGTAATCTTAAAGTTATGCATCAAAATATTAATGGTTTATTAGGAAAAATTGACATTCTTGAAATTGTTTTACAAGAAGAACTTCCTGATATACTCATTCTCACTGAACATCACTTAAAAGAACATGAGATAACTTTATTGTTATTAAATGGATATATCTATGCATCATCGTATTGCCGAGGTAACGTAAAAAAAGGTGGAGTATGTATATTTGTTAAAGAAACCATCAAATTTATAGAACTAAATGTTAAATGTTACTGCATTGAAACTGAATGTGAACTCACAGCAATTAAAATACTAAATGCACAAAATTCCTTAACAATAATTGGTGTTTATAGACCTCCAACAAATAACTTTGATATATTTTTTAGACAATTTAACAACTGTTTACAAGACATAAATAACTTAAAGCATAATACACTGATTGCTGGAGATTTCAATATAGACTACTGTTCAAGTAAAAGTGAAAAAAAAGAACTTTCTTATATCATGTCAAGCTTTGGATTAATCGATACCATATTATCATACACTCGTGAATTCAAAAATTCAAAATCAAGGATCGACAATATATTTACAAATATTGAACTAAAAAATGTAAACGCCTATGTAATTATCACAGCTATCTCAGACCACCATGGTCAAATAGCTATAATAAAAGATTCTAATTACAACTCTGTTCCACTACCCATTTATAAATACCAAAGAATCTTATCAGAAAAAAATGTATTACAATTCAAAAACAAATTAAAAAATGAAAATTGGCTGCCAGTCTTTACATTTGGAAATACATTGGATGAAAAATATGAATCATTCAACTCAATTTTATCAAATCATTTTACAAATTCATTTCCTCTAAAGAAAATTAATCTATGTCATTCAATGAATAAAATTAAATTAAACATCAAGAACAAAGTAGTTAATTCCAAGAACCCCATGAGAGAATTATGGAAAACTGTTAATGAAAATAGAAAAAAGACCAAAT